TCTCTCTCTCTCTCTCCCTTTCTGTCTGTAGAAAAATATGTATATCTATATATATATATATATATATATTTATATACATATATATATATATATATATATATTTATATACATACATACATACATACATACATACATATTTACATGTAAATGCACAGAAATACATATACAGTCTCGTAGTGTTGTCGTGACACTACTCATTGCTCTGTGTGCATACATGTGCTTGTGCATGCTTGCGCATAGACTCAGTGCATTCGTACCAACTTATGGCTCTTTGTGAGCAATAGGATGTACATACGCATAGGTGTGTGGCATAAGGTTAATGTTAAGGACCAAAGCCACCAAGTACACACGTGTCAAAACCTAGGCTTCATCACAACTCGGTCCCCTTCTCTTTGACTTGGTCTTTGCATATATAACTAGTTCACCACCCCACTCTATTGACCTTAGGCTCCTACAATATCTAGTCACACTTTCTGAGTTTCTTCTCCGACTGAACCAACGTTGTAAGGGTTTCAGGGTTCAGGACTAAGGGTTTATTGGGTTAGTTGTTAAGACGATGCCAGCCGATGCCGGAGAGACTTTCTGCACAGGGCGTGGAGTTTCAGCTTGCTTCCATGGTCGCGATGATCCCGTGGTCGATGAAGCTTGGCTTTGCTATTCTTGATCCTTGCTTCATTGTTCTCATATTCGTAGCCGTGTCAGTATGGTGGTACGGTAAGGACTACTTCTCTGATATCAGAAGTAGCTGGCAGCAGCAGCAGCAGCGGAAGCAGCAGCTGCAGCTGCTGCAGCAACAACGTCGTCGTCGTGGCAACAGAGGCAGTCGCAAATGCCATTATGGTGAGTCATACTGGTTCGGTTCAGCACAGGGCACCGGCTGTTCAGGGGCGAGTTGAAAGGCACCGAAAAGTCTACCCTCGGCTAGGGTGGACTTGGCTCGCCACTTTCCCCCAGGCCGTACTGTCATCCCCAGGAAAGTGGGTCGAGCATGGGCTGTGCAAATATGTTCTGCTTTGTTTTTCCCACGATTCATATTGAAACCGAGGGTTCAATACTGTTGAGCCGGCATTTGGCCAGAGTTTTCGATACGGGCGGGGAAACCAGGTCAACGCTGAAACCTCGGGGGTCGCAGTGAGTGCCCAGGAAGGGCTTCATCGGCGTGCTGAGCGACATCGTGCCCCTAGGCCACCTCGTTTCAAGCTGCAGCACTACAGCCTGCACCGAAACCTGGTTGTGCATGGGGCCCGCTTGGGGGTGCACGCGGGGCTGCAAGGTAAAAGCTTGAAATCGGTGCTGTTGATCCAACATCCTGTCTGCAGGCTTCTTCCGAGCGCTTTGTCAGATTTCGCTTGGACACCACGTCAGATGCTGAAGCTCCCAGCCCGAACCCTTTCATCGAAGCCACCCCGGTTCAGGGTTTAGGGAGCAGGGTTTACAGTTTAGTGGGTTGCGGTTAAATCAGGGTTTAGGGGTTTGGGGGCAGGGCAACGCAATCGTCCAACAAGCCGAAGCTGTGACATAAGGGCCTGAATACATGCCCCGATTGTTCCTTCAGGCTCCTCATTGTTGATTCAGAACCTGCACAAAACTCTTGTCGAATTTTTCGGGCCACTACATTAAACCCTGCGAGCAGGCCGCTATCATAAGCGCGGCTACCTGCTTCTTGGTTGTGAATTTGGAATGGGAGCGTTCAGAGACTCTAAGTAGGGCCTGGTTTTCCTTTTCACCACCCTAAACCCTAACCGCAAAACTCATGCAAACCCCCGTAACAATCCGACAGCCTGAACCCCTAAACTCCAAACTGCGGCGGTTCAGCGTTGCAAGGTTGAAGGCTGAGGGTCCTTGTGTTCGGTGATTCCTTGACGGGGCTGTAGTTTTTTTAGTATAAAGTGTTAGTTTCAAACTAATATGTTACTTTTATGACTTTAACATTTTTTTTTACTTTCATTGTTGTTAATGTAATTGTTGTCATTGTGCTTTGTCTTAGTCTCCTGTCTCATGTTCTTACCATCGTTTCTATCGTTTCATTGCCATCATTTTTGTTCTTAGTATTCAGTATTCATGATTGTTATTCTTATGGTTGTTACGAAAGTATACTGCGAAGCGAAGAACACGACGGGGACCCCAAAGGATTTCCCTCGGTGCAAGACTTGCGCCCCCCCCCCCGATCCTCGCGACATGTCCCAATCCTAGGCAGCCGATAACTGGATGGGAGGCTCCCGCAGCACAACGAGGTTGTTGCAAGGAAAAGAAATGCTTTATATTTTTGTGGCAAATGAGGAGGACGGCCCACCTCCGGCTCGACAGATGCTGTTCTACTTGGTGTCTGCCAGGTACTTCTCATCTGAATGTGGCCATTAGGGACATGTACATGGGGGAGCTGCATCCCGGAAAGATTGCCCCCGACATCTTGACGTGGACACTGCCCCTTTGCGGCCTTCACTGCTTGACAACATCTCGAAGGGCACGAGACGAGAAGGTCGATCCCCCATCGAAATCTCAATTAATGAGTAATACTTTATCTATCTAGTCACATAAGCATACGGAACCAGAGTGTACCCCTCAACCTGATTCTGATTGTTCGGGGCCCCTTTCCTACATACTCTGATGTTTCCAGAAAACGAATCGTACTTCGCCCATCCCTCCAGTACTTTCTTTGTGCACAGAAACCCAAACCCTAAACCCTAAAGCCCTAAACCTTCAACCCCGCCCCGAAACCCTAGACCCAAAAATGACACCTCCGCGCCCTGAGCCCCTAACCCTAACCCAAAACACCAAGCCGCTAAACCCTATTAAGCCCTAAAAAAGGTTGCTCTCGGTGGCCCTGGGACTCTTCGGAATCGGCATGCTGTCCTTCCGGCCAGAAAGCCGAGGCGCCGGGTTGTTTGCTTGCTTATGAGACGGTTTTTGGAGGGGTTTTCGGGTGGTTAGGGTTGAGGGCTTTAGGGGTTTAGGGTTTAAGTTTAGGGTTGACGGGGGTTCAGGATTTAAACCTTCAAGACTCAGGGTCTGGATGCATGCGGCTTGTGGTAAGCCCAGGCCTTGGCCTCCTGAGCAGACATAGCATGTTTTTTGCCGAGTTTCTGCACAACAGACCGCCAAAGGTCCCCAGAGGCCACCCCCAAACCTGGGACTCGTTCTCAACCCTCGAACTGAAAGCCCGAGCTCCGACTCTTCACAGATGAGTCCTCGCTTTGGTTCACTGCCGCGCTCTTCGCATCTGCCTTTGCTTTCCTGGCAACCTTCGACCTCCTTTGCGAGGGCAAGCGGCTTGGCTTGTTTTGTTTTTCGGCGACTTTTCGTGGATTTCAAGAGGGGGTTTAGGGTTTAGGGTTTAGGGTTTCGGAAGGGACAGGGAGTCAGCCAAGTCAACAGCTGAGACAGTCAGCCTCAGCCCCAAATCGCAACGCTACCAACGCCACTGGGGCCACTGCTCCGGAGCTTGTTTTAGCAGTCCTGCTGCCAGCGTCACTCTAGTTCTAGTAGCAGTAGCAGTAGTGGTAGTGGTCGTGGTAGTGGTGGTGGTGGTGGTGGTGGTGGTGGTGGTGGTGGTGGTGGTGGTGGTGGTAGGAGTAGTGTCGTCGTCGTCGAGAATATGAGCCATGCAGGTACTCGGAGATTATGCGCGAGGAGCAGGCGAGTCACGATCTTTTGCATCGAGCAAGGGTGATTGTGCTATGGTCTTTCTTTCACGAGTGTCGAGTGTGCTCTTCGTCTAAGTCTGTGTGAGGCATTTCCGTGAAGTGCCATGTAGACAGTTTTTCCGGTGACGTACTTTGAGCAGCAAATATTGGAGTGTGTCGCAAGAACGGCTGCCCAATGCAGAAGCCGGGTTGTTTTTTGCGACGTCTCCTGAACCGTATTTAGTCCTCGGTCTTGATTTCGAATGACCCATATGCAATGCCTTTCTATCTCAAGCCTGCAACCCACTCCGGAGCCCATTCCCCCTAGGGTTGCATCCCAAACCCTCAACCAGAAAGGTTCAGTATCCTCCATGCAAACCCAACTCAACGCCAGACCCTCGTTCCAACCACTTGTTTGTTGGGTGGCGTGTAAGCGCAGACGATCGATGCAAGGCTTGGTAGACATTCAGGATATTGGCTCCAGGGGACCCAGTACGGCCGTTTGAAGTTGTAGTCCTCCTGCACGAACCTCTGCAAAGCCGTAGATGTCACGAAGCATGACAATGCTAATTTGAAATTTGACTCACCCTAAAACCTATCTCCTCGCCAAACCCAAAACCAGAAACCCCAAACTAGTTCCCTCGGCATCGCGAGCCCAGTCAGGCCGGCAGCGAGGCGGGCTGCTGGGTTCATGGAGGGTGAAGGTAACGGTCGGAGGAATATTTACTGCCGATATTCCCGTGTAGTCCTCATGTAACTATACCGCATAGCATAATGAACCCTTGGGTGTTGATCGGATTCTGGGACCCACGGCCTTGCCCGTTCACGGCTTTGTCCGTTCGCTTCTTTGAAGGGGCCTGCAGTAAATTTGTCAAGAACCATTGAGGTCAGGCTGGTGTGTCCCCGGGCACTACGGATTTGGAGCGTAGTCTTCGGGGCTTCTTGTGTATATGGACTTCCTGAAACCGTAAACGCCTAAAAACCACAAACCCTAAATCTACATCCTGAACCCCCTAAACCCTGAACCAGCCTGACAACCCGTACTGCCCGAAGCCCATAGCACCAGGCGCCTAAGTCCGAAGCCCCACTGCGACGGATCTAGAAGGCCCTAGAGCCCTTTGCCTTTGCCTATAAGAGCAAAAAGCAATACGAAAGGAAATGGTCATAGCCGTAGGAGAAGTACTTCTGCTAGTTCATATCTCATAATACCATTGCTAGTAACAGAGAAGAAAATCCGTGCAATTGATCCCAAAACTCCTTGAAGCAGCACCAGCCTGGGGCCTCACTTTGAAGCATAGGCAATTCATGGCAGTTCATGTTGACCGAGATCCAAGCCAGCCCAAGCCTCCTCAGGTGCTCTCTCTCGTCTGGTCCTGCATGCAGCTCGGCTCGCTTGTCGCGGCTCTCGGCGTGGCCGATGTCGTGGATACGGAAGGTCCCAGGCGCTCTGCTGGGAGCTTTCAGCCACATAGGGTTTAGGGCCTTTTCGGCTTTAGGGTTCGGAAACCTCGTCCTCATTGATCATGCAAGCACACTCAAGTAGCCGCCCAGTCGGAGCCGCATTTCTTGAAGCTGCAGCCGTCGCATGGAAGTTCCTTTCACAATCGTAGTAGTCGTTTTTCTCCCGGCTCACCGTGGGGAATGTACGTGTCTTGAGCTAATTATATTTGCTGACTATGGTTTTCATTCTGGCAGCTGCAGCCTAGACTCATGTCGGTCCGCGGGAGGACAATGGTAAATACTAGGAGGAGGCGGGGTATTTACAGCGATAGAGGTAGCTGCGTGGTGTTTATCAGCGCCTAGCTCGAAACTCGAGCTCCAGTCATGCTGAACTCCGACTTCACACTCCTACTCAAACATGAACGTTCAAGCCCTCAAGCCTAAAGCCTGCATGCCATAGCGCAGGATAATCTCTGCTTGTAGGAAGGACAAGGAATCTATAGGCAATACAGTTTATGTAAGGCCAAGACCGAACTCGCTGGAGGCCGCTTATCCGGGTCTGCCTCTTCTTCACGCTTCTCTCTTTGTGGCGAACTTGTGCAGGCATATGCCTTGTGAGACTGGCGACTAGTTTTATGCTACGACGCATCATGTAGCTGAACCTTCTAGTGATACGTACAAGCACGACTGTGGCTGCACTGTTCTTCGTTGCTGTGGCATAGCCTGATGGTGCGATCATTGCCATTATGCGTATGCTGGAGAATTTTCAGAGTCACAAGGGCTTCCTAAACCCTAACTCCAAGCCCAAACCCTTAGCCAGAAACTGTGGGCCCTAAGTAAGCCCTAAACCCATCAGGTATTTAGCAGGAAGCTTCGGACTTAGGGCAGCGCGAAGCGTGCATCAACAACAACAATTACGCGTGTTTCTTCTCGACATGCTGGGGGATGGAACGAGAGAGGGAGGGAGGGAGCGAGCGAGAGAGGGACGGAGGGAGGACAGTAGCAGCAGCACTAGGATCTGCGATGATAAAGACATTCCATAGGCTAGTTTTTGAGCAACGAAATGACGAATCGATGCCAGCTTTACATGCCCCAAAAGGAAGCCACTTGAGTCCCTTGAGTAGGAGGTTCCTGATGATAAAGCGTCGCAGTCTAGACGGGCAGTTTGACACGCTTGGGTTTCCTAGCCCCTGACCCTCGAAACACCTACGACTCCAAAAATTCTACCGTATCTCGCCGTCTTACCCCAGCCAGACAAAGATCTGAACCGTAAATCCCTAAGCACTGCCCCTCAGACCTGTAAACTACTCTAACCACAAAGGCCTGAATCCTACACCGCAAATCCAAAAGTCTCGAAGCCCTACACCCTTAGCCGCAGACTCTGAGACGCAAACGGCAACACCCAAACGGAAGGCGATCTGCCAGAGGAGCCAGCGACCAGCCTGCGACAGGAGCATATAGGTGCTTTAGGGTGTACCATCAGGTCCGATGAGTCAGTTTTGTCTCAAACAGTCCCGAGAGGGTTTATCAGGGGTCAAAAAAAGGTTAGGGACCCAGTTCTTTACCAAAGCATTCAAACCCCTGGAACAGGAGCAGTTTGTTAGCGCACGGCAGATCACGGCAACTCTTCGTAGAAATGGTTTGCCTGTTTCGACCTCGTAGACTCTGGGTTTCTATGTTTTGCTTCGGAAGGATGGTGGAGAAGTCTTTCGGTTACATTTTTGGGATGCACGGTGGATGTGCTGGACAGTTTTCATCATTTTTCCAAAAGACCTGGTGATGAGACCAAAGCAACTCTCTTGCTCATAGCATTGGCTCTCGTCTGCAACATGTGCGTGGATTGTTAGTCTTCTTGTCTTCTTCTTGTTGTTGTTACATTGTTCCGTGTTCTTGTCATTGTTTTTGTTTTTGTTCGTCTTCGTTTACTGCTATTATTGTTGTAGTATTATTATTGCCATTGCTATGATTATTGTCATTGTTATTGTTGTTGTTATAGTTCTTGTACTTTGTTGGTCTGGTTGTTGTTCTTGTTATTGTTCCTGCCGTTGTTGACAGAGCTCTTAACCGTGCCCACGACACCGCTTCATGAATGCCATGCACTTACAGCCCCAACCTTGTAGTAAGATGTGCCCCGCAACTCCACGAAAGTAGTTAAGTCTGTTGAAACCTTAGCAGCATTGTGAAGGCCACTCGATTAAAGCCCTATAAACTACCTACCTTCATCCCACCTGTTACGGCCTCTATATTACCAAGGCGCGCAGCTGGCGTTCGCTTTGGGCAAAGGCTGCCTGGGTAAGAACAACTTCCCACTTTACTTCCCAGGGTTTCTTATAGCAATACTGTTCGTCCTTAAGGTTCCCGGGTATCAAGATAATTACTACTATTCCATGCAAGTGTTGCTACAAGAGTTTCTATAAGGGTTTCTGCAGGGGTGTCGGCGAGGCTACAAGGCTTCCAGAACTTGAAATTCTGCTGGTGCCTGTCGTCGAGGGACACCGCCCGGGGTCTATGCAAACCTCCCTGAATGCACCGAACCCAAAACCCTAGAAACGAAACCCTAAACTCTGCAAAAAAAAAACCCTAAACTCTAATCCCAATCCACCCGTGCATGGCAGCTTTGTGCTGTGTAGAGGAAACTGCCACGCAGCTCTTGTCGGCGATGGTGTCGTGCTTATAGACTTTCTGCAAACATCCGGAGTTTGTCAGGAGAGAAAACAAGCGTGTTCACCTGACCAATCTTCGTAACAGTAGCGCGCAAACCAAGTGGAAGTCATCTGCGAGGGCCACCTAGCAGCGTGTAGCCTTGAAGAGCAGTTCTCGAAAGCGTTTCTTCAGCGTTCCATACGTCACACGGCAGCGTGTCGCTTATGAACCGAGCGCTGGCACCGGTGCCTCCTAGGAGGAACTTGCACATGGGTAGCTCTTGAAAGTACGGTCCCTCTTTAGGTCCCAAATGTAGTACGGCACACTACAAAAAGGATCACCGAAGATGACCCTAACTTAGAGACTTGCCCGCGTGCCACATGCTCGTGGTGCACTTGAATTGAGATAGTTGACCCGGCCACTGAGTTCCTTGACATCAGCTTTTAAATTGTCTTCTATTCTACTCCGTTTCTCTGCTGTTCTTACATATTCTGTCTTATGATATTACACTATGACGTCGTGTTAATATTAGGCTATATCACATCATAGCGTCTCCGAGCCTCTGCACCCTCCTGGGCCGTTAATGACCCAGCCAGGCCATGTCGGAGCCCGGTCTTTTCCTGTTGGCTTCCGCCATGGCTGCCGGATCAGCGAGCCTTGGAGGAAGAGCTCTGGAGCTTGAAGGGCTATGAAAATGGGCGCCGAAAAGGGATGCTTTTGGGTTTAGGGTGGATAGTTAGCATGAGTTTAGTAATTTGGGGGAATAGCGTAACTCTATAGGAGCTATAAGGGAGGAAAAGTGCGAATGATTTAGGCGTCTATATATGTCAAGGGAGGTTTGGGAATCCACGTTCTGGAAAAATGAACTGCGGATATCGAGTTTGAAGCCTGCGGAATCCCTAAACCCCAAGCCGCCTAAACCTCTGTTTGCCAACATGGAAGACTGCGCTTGATTGCTAGTCTGGCTCCCGAGGGTGGCCCCAGATCTACTGGCGTGGCGTTCGGACTCAGTGTTTAGGGTAGTGTAAGAGTGTTGAGGGTTTTAGGGTGTTCGGGTAGTTCAGGGTTTAGGGTCTTCGGGCAAAATTGAAGCTTTTGTGGTTCACTTCACGGTGCTGAGTCACAGATATCAAGGAAGGGGGCTTAAGAGTCGAATTTACATCAGACAAGCCTTGAAATCAAGAAATAGCATGGGGCCTGCAGGGTTTAAGGTTTTGCAGTTTAGGGCTTCGGGTTACCAGAGATACTGTGGCGGCCAGAACAGTTAATTAGACATCTTATCCGGAGGGCTCCTAATGATTAGCACAGTATGAATATGCTCCCCAAAACCCCATTCTACTGATCACGGCCCCCCCATGAGATGGAAACTCCTCAGAGACCTTTAGCAGACTTTAGCAGCGAAAGTACAAGTCCAGTGCTCAAGGCCTAAGAGATGCCTAGACTTCGGAGGCTTCATACTTTTTAGGCTTCAGGCTTGCAATGCTTCCTGCTTTGAGCCATATCCGAAAACCCCTATGAGCACTACCCTAAGGATGGTAGCATTTGCTACCGCCATCTTCGGCGACCAGGTGCGGAGGGGGCATGGGCACTGACTTTGTCAGTCTGTGAAGTACAGTTTTCTCGTGTTGTTTCGTGTGACTGGTCTTCTGCAGGACCACTTCCAAGCGTTGAGGCAAGTAGGGGGGTTTTAGGCTGACAGAAAAGCAATTTAGAGCCGACGCGCCACGAACACCTGTCGCATTATTCTGCAGGCACCGGACCTGAGTCCCAAACCACCAGCCAAAAGCCGACTCTGACGCAGCATCCAAAGTCCCGCAACCAGAAGCCAAGAGGAGAGGCCCAAACCCAAACCTTGAACCCTTTATTTCGGGGCTGAAGCACCTCCGAACATAACGCCCCGAGCCATGCATGGGGTTCTCAACATCTACTTGTTGCAGAGACCCGAAACCCTAAAGCCTTCATTTACACCTTCCGTGCGAGGGTAGAGTTCTCACCGCACTCGGCGTGTCCGCGCTGAGACTTGCCGCAATCATGGGTTTCCTCATGATAATGGCAGTGTAACATACCCCAAGACCCTTCCAATGCTTTAAGTGTATGTTTAATGTACAATCTTGAAAGACTACTGATCTTTTTCCTCGACTTGCGTACAGTACATCTTAACACTCTATTCTAAACATGGCGGCCCTATCCAAATGCTTACAGTAGCCTTTAATAGTAACCCTCAAGCAACCCTATCAATTCAAGGAGCCCTCGTCCGACCCTTACGGCCACTATCTTAGCTCAGTTTCAGGATGTTGGCCCTGTGCTGCGGTGAGGTCGTGCCATGCGTTCGGCTTCAGGATGTCTAGCTACGGTTCAGGGGCTCAAGTTCAGGCCGGGGGGAGAAGGGGGGGGCGAGGTGGTATATTGTAGTCTGACTCCAAGATTAAAGGAACCTTACATAGTAACAGCAATTATTCAGTCCCCATACTAGTAGACACTCGGTGTTTTAGTTCTCCGATCGGACACTAGTTCTGGGAATGCTGACATCTCCTACATCAAAACCGTCAGGCTTCGAAGGCAGAGTCTTTTGCCTAAAGACATCAATGCTAATATCATGGCCTCAACAGAACAGGGTTTTGGTGTATATCATTTCAGTATAGTTATAGTAATAAGAGGAACCGCAAGGAGTACTATCGGCAATTAGTTGGGCTTCTATACCATGTGCTTCAGTGCCAGAACCCTTTGCATTCATAGTACGTCAGTTTTAAGAGCTCTATGCTTGAGAGCTTGCGATGCAGGTCTTCTGACTGTTGTTTCGTTGCTATTATTGTCCGCATTTCTGCTGGAAGATGATGCAAGTGGTGGCGGTGATTGCGGTGGTGACGATGATACATGATGACACCACGCTGAGCATGCTCATTCAATCTCCGAAACTCTGTCGTTGGGGTCTAAATGGGCTGCGCTGACATTGACAATGCCAGCATACCTGCATTCAGTTTTCAGGAACCCAAAGGTCTTGGATTCATAGAGCGTCATAATAATGTAGAAAGCTGAATAATTGCCAATAGTATTTTTGATAGTTCTAGTGGAATGTAACCCAAAGCACAATTCCAATTCTAATTCTCAAGGCCCCTATATCATAGAGCCCTATGGTAACCCTTAAAGGAACCCTTTAAAGGATTCCAATTCTAGTTCTTAGGGGCCCTTGGTAGCCTGGAGACTGAGGATGGTGGTCTTCTCCTTCAAGACCCTGCCGCGGGTCCTGGCACGGAGCGGCTCAGAGAGCAGAAGTTTTGCTCAGAACACCATGTCAATCATATTAACAATATCTTACTAGCAAAAGACAATAGTGAAGCAAATAACAACAGCGTCAATGATAGCACAAGAACAAAAATAACAGCAGTAGCAACAACGGTGATAATGATAGAAACAGTTCTAAGGATGCTGATGGTGAGACCAAGAACGATCATACACAATACTGGTAAGAAGAATTAAGAGCCACCGCAATAGTACAGATGATAAATAGCAATACCAACAATAATATCAACAACAATAAGAACAGTTATTGAATGCATTGCTAGTAGTGGTAACAAGGATAACCAGCACAATAACACCAACCATGCTAACCGTAGCAGTAGCTTTTTTTTGTGCAAGGTCTTGGTGTTGCAGTCCTTTTCGGGTTTCGGGTTGTAGTTGTCCAGGGGGCGCAGGTTTGCAGTTTCCAGTTCAACTCAAGGCTTCGGGGCATTCCCCAGCTTTAGGCGTCTTGCGTGCAACATGCTACCTGCTCTTAACTTGCAGTTGCAGAGGCAACCTGTATATGTTCATCACCTCCATCGCCTACCTGGACCTTTCCGGCCCTTTGTCGTACTGGTACACAGGCGGGCCTTTTAACCCTGCCTTCGAGGCTTCCGTGTGGAATCAGCTGAGGATTCTTCGATGGCACCTTCTGTTTGGGTTGTTTTTTTTGGGGTTGGAGCTGGGGCTTGCGGATATCGCTCTGTGCCGCCGTCGTCCTCGTGGTGGTGGTCGTCGTTGTAGTAATGGTGTTTTCGGTGACTTGATACGTAATACTCAGATCATGAGGAAGGCATTGAAGCGAGTAGCAACCGTAGCAACAGTGTCAACAACGCTGCAAAAACCTCGGAGATCTCCAGCTATGGCCGTAGCTGTCAGAATACAGTAGTCGTGGTCACAATGATAAAGATCGTAGTTACGGTAAAAAAAGCCCTGACACAAACATGTCACAGGGACGGAGAGCTGTGTGGAAGACGGCCCACACTTCACCTACGCTTACTACCTGGCCATCTCCAATGTTGTTGGTGCCGTCGGTGCCTGGGAAAATTGGACACTGCTCTGAGGCTTTTATCTCAAATTTGAGGCTTTGCCGTTGCGGGTCGAACTGAGCTGAGCAGTCAAATACTAATTATATGCCGAAATTTGAGAATGCTTGAACCCCAGATTGTAGACCGTCAAGCTAACCTCAGCCCGAACCATCATCAGTGAGGTCTACACCTGCAGTGCGCATGTGGACAAATTTGCATTCTCATCCTCGTCCTCTGTAGTCTTCTACGTCGTCGGCATTACTGTTGTCAGAGTCGCTGTTGTCATTGCGCTATGCCGTCGACGGCATCGACTACACCAATCGCTCACACATTGACGACACTGCCTACAACGGCAACAGCTGCTACGGCTGAGACACTCGCAATCAGGGCAACAGTAAGAATGAGCACACAGGGAACTAGCGAATGGCCGCCTTGAGCCTTCTAGTGATTCCAGCACTCGAAGGCTCCATCCTTGGTGCAGTCATCTTTCAGTACATGCAGGTGGGGGCGAGGGCAACTCCAGGAATCGTACACGAGCTTACCGGAGTTGCGGGCGAGTGCCAAATCTTGGGCTTCCATTTCCTTGTCGGAGTTGACAGCTAGACACGGCTGCGGTTCGGAGGCGTGTTTTGGAGTTCAGGGGCTGTGCCATGGTGGTGACATGGCCGGCAAGAGTGTTGGCTCTGGTGGCGTGCGATGAAGCTACTTTTCAAGACAGTGCTGCTGATGGTGAAGATGACTGGGTTCTTGTTGCGGAATCTGATTGAAGTTACCATGAGAAGGAACCCGTATTCGTTACCAGTAGATTCTTCCTTATGGTAGCTTGGATTAGATTAAGTTATAGCAAACCAGCATAGAAACCCTTATAGCAACAGATGATGATATGCTCAGATCTTTTCTTTCGGCATCCGTTCCGTTTCCACCGACAGTAAGGGTTTCTGGACACCACGAAGTACGATTCTGAAGATCAACCCGAAAGAGAAGCCGCCGAGTGTCCAGATAAACCCTAAACCCCAGGCCCAAACCCTGAAGGCAACTCAGTGCGCAGACAAAAGAGCTCAGAGCTCACTGACAAATGCCTTAAAGACACGCTAGGACTCCATCCCACCCGAGGACTCTGCGTGGAACGAATATGAAACTTTGAGCCCAACTCCAAACAGCATAGAACTCCACCGCAAGCACATTGAGCATGAAAACCCAGCTAAGCCTCGAGTCATTACCCTCATAGACGCCTATTGAACGCCCCAAAACCCAATACCCTAAACCTTACAGTATACCCGCAACCCTAAACCCTCAGCCCAAAACCCCAAAGCCCGAAACCTTTTTCATTCTTGTCTTTGACAGGACTGGACCTTCCGCCAGGCTTTCTGGGTCACAACGGTGATCCAAGTGGTGGCCTCGTGGTGGCTCAGATGAAAACCCCTATCATGCCCCAGACCCGAGACTCTGGACCCCACAGCGGTTTAGGCTTAGGGTTTGGGTTTAGAGAATTACAGGGTTTAGGGTTTAGGGTTTAGCGGTTTAGGGTTTAGGGTTTAGGGTTTAGGCGTAGGGTTTGGGGTTTAGAGAATTATAGGAGTTGAGGGTTGGTGAACTGCAGATGAGAGCTCTCTGACTCTCTGAGTGAATACAGGAGGCAAAGCACCTCTTGAGGGTTCCTCGTTAGAATCGTTCGAAATGAGTAGGGCCTCTGTACTAAACCTCGCTGACTGCTTTGCAGTGTGCCATGGAAATGCCTTAAACCCTAAACCCCTCAACCCTAAACCCTTAAACCCAACACCCTAGAAGCCCTAAACCCCCCAACCCCTCAACCCCTGAACCCTATATTCGTAAAGCCTGAACCCCCAAACCCTCAACCCCTAAACTCCTAAACCCTAAAAGAAAATTCCGGTGCCAGGAACGCCGAGCCTTGATGCTTGTCGGGTCCGGGCTCGTGGGCCCAGGTCCCTATCATTTCCAAAAGGGCCTACATACCTAGAATAGAGTTGGGGAGTTTGGGGAGAATGTTTCAGTGCAAGTAGGTATCATGGGGCCACTACTTATTCTAAACCCGAAACCAAGCCAGCCCTTGCCAAGTTATCTCTAAATCCCAGACCGAACTTCGAAATCTTCTCAGCCAGTACAGAGATGCAGGTTCGATCTTCTCATCATCTCCCGGTACAATCTCAAGTTCGGGTTTTCGGACAAAGCTGCCTACCTCTTCGGAGACGCGGCTTCTTGGCAGCTGTTTGGGGGTTTCCAGGTAGTGGATTGAGAGATCTTGAGGGGGTCACAGCTGTGAACAAATAGCTGCATCATTCCTTTTTTCCCTTTTATCCCTAAGCATCAGAAACCCCGAAACCTTGAAAGGATGCTGATCGCATAGCGGCAGACACGAAGAAGCCTGTTGCCTCTGGGGTTGTGGCTCTGCGGCTGCCACTAGCGACATCGGGGATCTGTGTTGGAGCTGCAGAATCGTCTGAGCTCACGGTCCCGACACCCCGTGCTGCACGTGGTCCACAGTCCTTAGGACAAATGGAGTGTCAGCGTGAGCGACAAGCCCTTGGACAATCAACGACTTCGTTGACCCTAGGAAAGAAGGTCTGTACGAATTCTTTGGAGTCATCAGGAATCGACCGTGACTGTGCTGCTCAGTCTTGTGCAAACCATTGGAGCGACTTGTTGGAAGGGCAACAGCCCCGTGTGAAGGCGCCCTCATGGCCACATCACCCCAATACTTTATTCTAATCATTAAGGTGTCTGCCAAGGAAGAATCTCCTTTAGGACCCTCATCGAATCCTTAGAAGACCCTTATCCTACACTTAAAGACTTAAAGGAGCCATATTGGAATGACTCAGGACCCATATTCAGCCCCGACACCCGAGACAGTCCCAGAAAATGATATCCGAGGCTTGCCAGAGCCTAGCGCAGCAGCCGCCTGGACGAGAGGGTTCTGGCCGGGCTACTACACGGGGGGTACTATAAATTATGTTGACTCCGTCGGGTTTAGGGTTTTAGGGTTCTGGTGCCTGGCCATGTTGGTGTATTGCTTCATGTTCCGAATCAGTGGCAATCTTCGAAAAAGCAGCTTTGATCATCCAAGCAGCTTTGTGAACTCATGTCACAGGACTTGAGCCTTGGCATTGTGTGCTTCGATTCGTCACATTGACACACTGACAGCCAACTGACAGAAGCACGATATTCTGTCTCCATCATTTCCATCTACATATAATATGCACAGATTCCCTTCATCCTGGTAGTTTCGGTGTTTCCAAACCTTAAACATCCCGAAAACACAACCCCAGAGCCCTAAACCACAAACTAAACTCCAGACCCTAAATCCTAAACCTTACAAAAAAAACCTAAAACCCTAAACAGTAGACCCCAAGCCCTGTTTGAGATTTCGTATTTGGATGTCGCCTTGAATTCGTTTGGGCTGCTGTTGTTCAGGACTGCGGGCTAGAGTTGTCTCTATGTAGGGTTTAGGGTGTGACATCGGGTGTAGGGTTTAGGGTTTTGGGCTTCGGGTTCAAGCTGGTTTTTTAGATCTTTTGTATACGTCTAAGGTTTCACGCCAGACCGCTTAGGGTTTACAGCGTGGCCCCAATGTTCCAGCAGTTCAAGCTTGTAGTATTCGGAAAACCTCAGAATGAGAAGCGCGCATTTTTCAGGGCTCTTCTTGCCTTCGGTGTGGCGCAAATTCAGCGAAGTACTGTTTGATTTATCCGGCTGACATCCGGGCCGGAATATTCAAACGAGTATTCTCTTAGAGTCCCTTGTTATGGTTACAGTATACGATACCCCGCAACGCTAGTCTAACTGTCAAGGCCCCTATGTCATGGACCCCTTGGCACTTAACCCTTAAATTAAAAGCACCCTGTAAAGGAGCCCTGTTACATTCGACTGACTCTCCCGGGCTTGTCGAGTCGAGGATCGGCTTTCCGCAGTATGGGGGCTTGATTTGTAATGAGAAGACTAAGAAACTGATACTTTCATGATGATGAAGACTAATTAGTACTCCTGATCATGATTATAGTGTAATGCACCGCCCCAAACCCTAGTCTACTTATTAAGGCCTCTGTATTTGTTGTCTGGATTTCTTGGCGTGATCAGACAACATCGTCAGTAAGGCTCGACCCGAAAGAAACAGAAAAACTGTGCAAAGGATGGCGCTGATGCCTCAGGCCCTCCTCACTGCAAGGCTTTGCCCTCGTGGTGCAGAGGCCTAGCCCCGAAGCAATATGCCCCTAACCCTAAACCTCCCTGCATCGAAAAAAGATACGGCAGGCCAACTCATCACTGTCAGTCGTCGCCATCATGGTCACCACATCCATCATCAGTGTCAGCAGTTTGAACTGTCGTCATCACTACTGCATTTCACGTGGCTGCCAGCACCAACATCATAACTGTCATCGCGCATGGCGATCGCAAAATCACGGTGGACATATTGATTCTGGTTGTTTTGAAGACCCATCCCGCCGGAGGTGATTGTTGATCGTGAGAACTTCCTAAAGTAACAGCCATCCCTGCGACACAGGAGCTGGTTATGACTTCACTGATAGGGGAGAGTACTTGAGTAGTAACAGGCAGACTCACCAATCTGTCCGTGAGTCTGAGATTGAAAACTGTAGTACTGCACAAGGGCAACGCGGAGATTGACGTTGTCGATGGCGATGAAGAACGCGTAGGACAACAAGACAGAAGCAATGGTAACATGTGGGTCATGCTGATCTTCTGAGTGCTGCGGATGGGGATGATAGACAGGTGAGTAACCAAGTCTTACGGAAGTAATAAGAAGTTGTTGGCTCCGACTGTTGCATGCCGTTGTTATTCTGTGATTGCTGTCCGTTGTTGAATCTGTCGGCCGAAGCGCCATGCCCTTCAGACCCTAAAGCCTCAGCCCTAAACCGTCAACGCTCAACCCTAAACCCCCCCCCCCCTCCTAAGCCTTAATCCAGCAGCGCCGGGTCCTGCTTGCCGCACGCATTCCACCAGGCGACCGTCTTTGCCATTCTGGCCGGTTTCCAGAACTTCGGATCGAACATCGGCACCCCGGTAGCAGATAGTGGCTAGCAGCAGAGGCTTCTGCATGTAGTATAGGGGCCGAGAGAATTACCAACACTATTTCTCAGGACTCTTGCCTCAAAACTTTCATGCTGTACCCCAAAAGACGGAATGGGAATTACTAGCTAAGGCATCAGCGGTTAAGAGCAGGCGCTGCGCAGCATGTAGCCAAGATCTCCATGCTGAGGTAGTGCATCCAAACCCTGAATGTTTTGAAAGGAGATGGAGACTTTGGATGTAATTTATGTCCAAAGGGCATCTTAGGACACAGAGACCAACCGCTGGACGGGTACAGTTTGCTTATCGTCCTTATATGTCCTGTGTGAGTGATAAGGGTACAACAAGCCCTCCAAAGGTTTCAGGTCGGAACATGATCCATGCGTTCTGCTAGTACTACGCACGCAGCGCAGCTGTAGATCCTTGCCATTCCCTAAACAATCAAGATACTCAACGAAGCCAAAACAAACTCAACTACGCAAACAACACCCAGAAACCCTGGCATCAAGTGCATTGTTTAGGGTTTCAGGTTTAAGGTTTAGGGTGGCGGGCCCTTTCCGAAGATGTTTTGTGGTCAAGGTGTGGTATCCTTGGCCTGGTCCGCTGCAACGTTTCAGCCTGTCAACATTCCGTGTGAACCGAAGTGCCTGTGGCCCCACAGAAGCCCCGCACACTGTATGCCGCACCGACTAGCTAGCATTGCAATGTTGCGAAAGAAGGGCAATACTGAAGCAAGCATCTATCTATCTATCTGTATATGTATGTATATATGAATATTTATGTGTATATTGGTTGCATATATATATATATATATATATATATATATATATATATATTTATATTTATATTTATATATTGTTATGTATAGCAAAAACGACTCCCGAGACCTCGCCGAAACGCAACCCCGAAGCTTGACAAAACGGCGTGAGAAACGGAACTAGAGACCCCGAAACAGAGTGCATTTTCTTTGCAGCATGTTTCGGGATTCTTCTTTTCAGCGCCTTTTGTCTAGCTGTTGTTGCCATTAGTACCATCATTTCTAATTACTATTGCCATGAGTACCATTACTACGAGTGCTGTTATTGGCATTACTCGCCTTTTTGCCATTCAATGAGCGCGAACCCCAATCTCAGGATCGCTCCTGGGCGCACAGCTCTCCGATCACTTTGGCATCACTTGCAGCAGGATGGGGCCCTGCAACTTCGAGTGGCTCAAGACGCTGATCCTGGTGTGCTTTGACTGACTTCTCGCCGTCACAGGGTTGGGTAACAAAAAACGGGGTTCTGGGGTTTAGGATCCAGGGGTGTCGAGGTCTAGGGGCTTACTTAAGGTTTAGGGGTTGAGGGTTTAGCGATTGAGCGTTTAGCCTTCAGGTGGGTCATCTGGAACCAGGGTCACCGAAAGGTCAAGGTCGAGATGCTCTGAAGGGCCGCTCAGTTCGTCTTTCAGGGCTTCAGCGCTGGCTGTGGAAGATCATGGTTAGATTATTCAGGTCCCTGCACTACCCTGGAAGAGTTTGTGCTAAGTCTGACCATAGAAAGGAAGCCGGAGCCGAAGCTAAGCACCGAACGAGGTGTCACATGCTGGTGCCCTTGGCCTGTCTGCCGCTAACCTGGGTCCTCGTCCCTGCTGCCGTCATCAGCGACGAGGGCGCTTTCGAGATGTGCCCCGGCAGCTATGACCAAGGGCTCAAAACGACCCAGTGCATGAAACCAGCGCGGACATAGGTGATAGTGGCAATCAATGGTGTCGATGACAGGGTCGGGGGCATGGTATCGAAGGTGCATGCAGCTTTCTTGGCAAGGGCGAAAACAACAGCACGAGATATGGACTAGCTTGCGACGACAAAGTTGTAACGCGAGAGAGTGAAGGTTATATTGCAGTTTGTAGAAGTCATCTTAAAGTTGGAATCGCAGCAGAACGTGAAAGGTCTTGTGGTCGTGGGATTTGAGCAGAGCACCCAGCACATGCTTCAACCAGCAGCCCAAACCCCGCCCCCCCCCACGATGTGCGGCTCTCCCAAGCCGGACATCTTTCTCAGACTCAGAAAAACTAGCTAGACCCGGTGCAGCAGGGCTTCCCCGCCGCCCTCTTTCGCGTCACCGGGGCCATCTCCTGCACGGTCCTTAGAGCAGGGCAGGGTCCGCAACAGAGTTTTCGGGCATTGGGGAAATCAGGCCCGCTGGGCAGGCTGGATTTCTACATGTATGAGTTTGAGGAACAGGTTTTTTGAGGCATCCCGGTGACTGCGTCATAACATCTGCAGGCGCTGCTGCGGTGGATTACAAGTGCAGGAGAGAAGTTACCACAAGCACGCGCAAACACAGCCAACTCGACTCTGGTAGAATGGGCAGAAGGACGAACAGAGCACTAGGCGCGTGGGCAGAAAGCCGAGCATGCGCACAAGGACACCTCAGATAACAGCACTGAGCGGTTTTGCGAAGAAGGCCATTCGTCACGAGTGCCTTTCAAACAGCGAACACAAACATGTTGGAATTTGTTGGCGAAACGAGCTGTGTTGCTGAACCCTAGACCGTAAAAGCCCTAATCCAGAAACTATCCCCGAAAGCCTTCCTCGAAAGACTTTGCCGACAGCTCAGATGGTGCAAAGTGCCCCAGGTCTCCTCACCGGCTTCCTCGCCTCGGACCTACCGCGCCACTGTGCTGTAGGGTTTTTGGGGTATGGGTCATCCTAGGTTTTCGGGTTTATGCTACAGGGTTTGGGTTTAAGCTAAGCTTAGGGATAGGGTTTAGTGTGTTTGGGAGGAGTCTTTAGGGCTTGCAAGCAAGTGCTTGTGCATGCGGGTGAAGGGGCCAATCGAAATCCCGCACAAGGAGTCCCAACACCCCCAGTCTATGTGAGAGCCAGTTTCTGGAGGATTTTGAGACACACACGAGACACTTCGTCGTCGTCAATGTGCACTGTCGTTTGTGGCGCTGAGGTAGAAGCCTTTGCATTCTTCTTGTGACTTTAGTTCTACTTTGTGCGATTATGTCGCTACCCCTTTGCGCCCTTCGGAACCATGACAAGCCGACAAGCCTTTCGATTGTCCCTGTCAGTGCTACGCCATTTTGGACCGCGGCAGTTGTTGCAAATTCGGTGGGCTAACTAGGTCGGCTTGACACTCTTGGTCACTAGAACTACGCACCCTCATAAAAGGCACATGGGTGTGACACAAGTGACATCGCCATGCCTGTCTGAGGGTTCAAAAGCGACAAGAATGACTCACGAGCATCGCCACTCCGATACTCCCATGAAGACCTTTAATTAAGACACCCAGCCTCCATGTAGTAAAGCCTCGCCGCGCTTTTCGGATAAAAGCTGACCACAGGCGAAAATAAAGGCCGGAATGATTAGCAACCCTTTTTGGGTGTCCTTGTCATATTTAGTTTAGAGTATGAAGAGTTGACGATCTCAGTCCGAAAAAGCATGGAGAGTCCAAGCGTGTAGAGCTTGAACCCTGGTTGAAAAGCCCTAAACTTTGAGGGTCAGGGCTTAGGGCTTATGGTTTAGGGTTAGTGAGGCATTGCTAATTGTCTCAACACAGGGCTAGAAGAAGCATTGAGTCGAGCCCAAAGGCCGAATTCCAACCTGCTCAAGTCTGCAGTTTGTATGTGCGACCCCCGAAATCCTTACACCCTCTAAACCCTGGAGCCTTTGTGTGGCAATCGGACAACAAACTCAATGTCCTCATTCGACACCAGAAGTTGGTTTCCTGAAGTAGAACTTGGTCTGAGTTTGAAGTCCTTCACGCAGCATACGAGTTCAGCAAAACTGGCAAAGAAGTACTGCTGCTGAAAAGCAGGGGTTCCTGTACGATACACAACGGCTGCGGCGACTGCTGGGAAATGATCCCAAAAGCATTCACCACTGTCAGCACCACTGGTTCGAGACTTTCACACCACAGTTGAGGACGATGTGGACCCTGATACCAGCCCTGTGACGCTGGCAGAATCGGCCACTTGGCACTTACAGGCCTGAGGCTCCGGTGTTCATTTAGATTTTGGAGTCCGGTGGGCGATTCTCGGTTCTGGCCTTCGGGACGTTAGGTGTTGAATTCGGCGGGCTGCAGCCTGTGGCCCGCGAGCTTGCGTGCAATGTGTTGGTGACGTTTCAAGGTCAAGCAACCCACTGGATGAGTCGTACAAGCACATCACCGTCGCAGTCGCATGTAAATGTACAGATGATATGTAAATACAATTATATACCTCATGTATATGTACATGAATGTGTATGTGTATGAATGTCCGAGAACATGGTTCTGGGCGGAGTTTTGGGGCTTTTCACGATAAAACAGGATTGTTAAAAACAAATACATATGTATATATATATATATATATATGTATGTATATATATATATATATATACATACATACATATGTGTACATACATACATACATACATACGTACGTACGTACGTACATACATACATACATACATACATACACACATGTGCTCGTGTCTGCCAGTGTGTGTATGTACGAGTGTATGTGTGTATGCATGTATGTAAGTAGACACACACACACAGACAGTTGTATCAGTGTTGGAGTTTTCCTCTCCTCACAAGAAGAGCAGGCTACTCTGACCCCTGCAGACTTCAGGGTTTTTGCAGGCCGCGTCCTTGGAAAACAGCAGTCGCACGGCTCCACACCCGAAGCCCCGACACGAGAACTCTCTCAGGACTACTTCCGGCTGGCGGACCACACAGAGACGTAGTGACCAGGTATGACGCAGGATGCGACAATACTCTGGGGTCAGAGTTGAAATATTCTGTCTGAATCCTTGAGCCCGATACGATGCGACATGGAGGATATACACTTGCAGGATATACCTAGCCACCCAGCTCAAGCATGATGTAGTGTGCGTTCGTACGAGATTTAGGAATGGAGGGTCCGGAGAAACAAACCATGACAGTTTCTTGTGGCTCTTCAACCGATGCTTTGCGCGAGACAGGTTACAGGTATATATAATCCGAAAGCCAATTCATATCGTCAGTTTTCTAAGTGCATCTGCATCAGAGTTTCAAGACACACATTCCCTCTTGTCGGAGATAAACCGACATTGTGCATGGTGCTCTGCGAAAGTAGCAAGACACCCAAAGAAGGCACGATATTGCTTGCAGAGTTTCTTGGCGCATGGGATCTGTTAACTGAAGCTTGAGATGTTACCTCCCTCCAGCATCAAACGGAAGGTTAAGTAACAGGATACGAAAACTATATTGAACTATACTTATGATATTGAACCCCGTGGAATAGTGATAGTAGTTGTTCAGGCTTCTATATTCAGGTCTTGTGTGTTGCTTTTTGGGCAACGCCGATGGCTCTCACCATCCCATGCTGCCAGTCGTTTGTACTGCAATGGTGCGTAGATTCCACTCACCGGCTGCGATGCGTCCCTGTAGGGGTGTCCCTTTCAGTGGAAGCGTCAGCGATGAAACGGTCATGCCATTGGTCTTACGACCGTGGGTGACAAGGATAGAAGCCACAAGCACCAAGTCGACTCGCAAAGAGTATTGCAGCGGGAGCTTTTAATAGTGTAGAAGCGCATAGAAGCCTCAGTAATGACCAGTATTATTCCTCAAGGTTCCCGACAATAGCTTTACTATACTATACCCCAAATTGCCGATATTATCAGGTTTGGTTCAATCTTCTGACTTCGGGCGTGTCGGATGGAGAGCTTCCGTCTCGAACAGAATGATGATGTTCGTAAACTTGCGCAGGGACACTGTGTAGGGTTTCAGCTTTTACACAAGGGTTCAGGGTTTAGGGTGAAAGGGAGCATGCAGTGGATGTACCTTGACGGGCAGAGATACTCTCGCAAGTAGCATCTAGCTCTGGTTGCGGATGTTGCGTGCCGTTTGTTGTGGGACGAGCTTGAAATCGTGACTTCTAGAGATCGCTCGTGTGGGACGAATGCCACTCACGTTGCAAACCACCAGCGCAAGTATAAATCAGTAAATACATGAAGAAATAGAGGTGTGTGTATACATATATATATATATATATATATATATATATACATCATAAGTTGCATATTATATACGGTTTATTGAGTAGATAAACAAACAAACATATATGTGTATACGATATTTGCAGAAAATATACATACACACATATATATATATATATGTGTGTGTGTGTGTGTGTGTAGCTAACTGGGTGCTCTCTTAGGCTCCCTCGGACCAGGATTCAGTGCCTGAAAGCGACAGTGATACATATATATATATATATATACATACATACAAGACAGACAGTCACCTATACGGCATTCAGGCTCAATCTCAACTGGCAGATGTTTACTTTGAGCCTGAAGTAGCTTAGTGCAGCGTGGACCAAAAGCCCAAAGCTCCAACCACCGGCTCCTACGATCCATGCTCGGATACTCGGATACCTTTATGCACCTTAAAGCCTAAACCCTACAAATTGGCATCCGAAGACCTCCCTACATCCAGCTTCAAGCCGCATCGCAGCGTGGTAGCACAGCCTGCATCCCGTGTTACCTTTGACGTAAGAACTACGGGGTTGGTTTTTGGGTGGACGGTTTGGAGACTCACTCTCGAGGTGTAGCTGAATGGTGTTGGTTTTAGCCTTACTTCAACTGTTATACGCAGCTTATGAGGACTAGGGGCCCCTAATATAGTACCCCAAATAGTAGGATCCTTATTATAAGGACCCCAAAATAAGGTGGTAGGCTTCGGATCATGGAGGGCGAGCCGCTTAGCGATGA